TTTATTCTAATAAATATAGATCACAACTTATTAGTTATGCAAATGTAAGATTTTAATTAGATCCATGTAAAGGTAGATCACAAATTGGACATTTGTTTATGTGTGAGGGTATAACAATATCTTAGCATTCAATAAAACAAACTTTAACTGCTACCTCATCAAATCAAGCAGAAATAATTACAATTCACGAGACAAGTAAAGAATGTGTTTGGCTAAGGAGAGTAATCTATCATATCTAAAAGATATATAGTTTAGTGTTAGAAAAAAAAGATTCTAACAATATTATATGAAGATAATATAGCGTGCATAGCTCAATTGATAAGGGGATACATCAAAGGAGATAGAACATAATATATTTCTCCAAATTTCTTTTTCACTCATGACCTTTTGAAGAGCAATAGTATATATATTCAGCAAATTTGCTCATGTGACAATCATGTAGATTTGTTTATCAAGATACTGCTAACTTTAACATTTGAAAAGTTACTATATGTTATTGGAATACATAAATTTAGAGACATAAAATTATAGTGTCACCAGGGGGAGTGAAGTGATATTGTTATCTGGGGAGATTATGGGAAGTAAATATCATGTTGTTCTCTTTTTTCTTTCTAATGTTTTATCCAACTAGGTTTTTAATGAGGCAACTTTAATGAGTGTTTAAAAATATTATGTACTTTTTTTTCTTCACTAAGTTTTTATCCTACTAAGTTTTTTCTAGTAAAATTTTAATGAGGCATAATATTTGTTATAGACATCCAGGAAAAGTATTATGAATATTATGAGTGGATGCTCATAACCTCCCAATGAATAACTTAAAAGGAGTTTCTCAATGTTAATGCCTTGTAACCTCCAAAGATAACATATTATGCTATTATATTTTTTTTATTCATTTGTAACATTAAGGTTAGGTTTTAATAGTTGAAAGCCTATAAATAGAGGTCATATATAAAGCATGAGAACATCTAAGTGAATAAAATATACTCTCTTATTTTCTCTCCCAATTTTCCTTGCTTTGCTATTCTCTTTTCTTTCTTTCTTTCTCCTTATTTTCATAATATTTATGATTATATTATGGAATTTTGGTCATATTTCTTCTTATGTATAAATTATATAATTTTGGTAGTGTAATTTATTGCATCCCTCAATCTCCTCTCATAAGCCATAACGATTCGGTTCTTGCACAAAATGAAGTTCATGAAGCAACCATCTCTGAAACAAAGGACTCACAGAGATGAAGAAAGCAAGGGGACACAACTAAGGGCTAGACGAATTAGGGATTGTTGCCTGTAAAATTACAAAATTTCCCAAGAACAAATTAGTTGGTGAAATGATAAAATACAATAAAGTACATGTCATCTGCCAAATAATTTGAAATAGTGTGATAGGGCATGCATTTTGTTAAATTTAACAGAGATTTTAATGGTAAGGGGTGGTGGTCAAAATTTGAAAGCTAAGAGTTTGTGTGTGTGTGTGTGTTTTTTTTTTTTAATAAAAAGGGTGTGGTTTTTAAATTTTTGAAGATGAGAGAGGTTATATGTATATAAATAAAAAACAATAGAGTACGTGTCATCTTGCAAAAAATTTTAAATGGTGTAAAGGGGCATGCATTTCGTTAAGTTTAATGGAGATTTCAACGAGAAGGGGTTGGTGGTCAAAATTTAAAAATTAAGGGTGTGATTTTAAAATTTTTAAAGATGAAAGAGGTGCAATGTATTTTGCCCTTTAATTTATTATATTTATACATTATTCTGCTGGTACTATGTTTAAGATCTTTTTATCAAGAAAATTGTTTAATTTTTTAAAATTTTATAATAGTTGCTTACACTTTTTAAAAATAACAATTAAATAAATATATTTCTGATTATTTTGATACGCTATGTTTGAAAGAGAATATTACAAAAATATAGAGATATGTGAAAATACGTAAACTTTCAAAATTAATAAATAATAAATTATTTTTATAAATAGAGATCTACAAAACTATCATAAAATTTTAAAATAATTAAATTATAAAAAAATTTTATTATCATAATCATGCATAAAATAATATATGTTTTTTTTGTAGAACCTCTATAAAACAAATTTTTTAATAAATATAAAAATTATTTATTTAGTAAGATTAAACAAATTAGTCCTTTTGTTTTGGTCTATAACAAATTAGTGGTTATACATTATAAATTATAAATCATATATAAATATTGTTCTTCATAAGTTGAATGTTGTATTTGAATAATAAAATCGAGCGTGTCAGATATGCAAAGTCTCAAAGATAATAAGATCCCTAAGCTACTTTACTTTAATTTATTTAAATGCAAAGATGTAAAAAAATTGGTGTAAAATGTGTTTTTTATTAATAAAAAATAAAGTATAAAGTCGCAATGATTATACTTATAAACTGAAAATAAACTTAGGTCTAAATATTAAATACAAGGTAAATAATTAAAAAAAATGAATCTGAGCTGGTTTATGGTGTAAGCTATTGTTGCTTCTAATGCAAGTTGTTGTTGTGGTCCCTTTTATAATTATTCTTCAGAGACCGTACTGCCTAAAGAATTTGAAGCTCATGTGCAAAATAGTAGTGATCACTTAGCACAACCTCGTAAGAGTCGTAACACATTAGATTATAATCTCATATCCACTCAATGGTCTCTTATATTCAGTTGTTTTGAATTTTAAGAGTCACAGTGAGTACATGCACGACATGATTCCTTTTAATAACTGACTAAGCCTTATCTTATCTTCATTTGGGCTTATCATTTCAGTTTTCTTGTTTCTCTACAATTTTGGGCTGATACTTTCTTTTAGATCCAAATAGATAAATATTAAAGATTGCATTAATTAATGATTTTAAAACTGAACTAGATGATCTAACTAGTAAAACTGTCAGTCAGTCACCATCGGGACTTGGTTTGAACATTCAAGCTGTTTTATCTATTAGGTCGAGTTAGACCGTTTTGGATGGCGGTTGGATTGAAAACCACTTAGTGTATGTTTGGATTAGCTATCAACCTTAGTTAGAATCAGCCCAACTGAGGTTAGAACAAAAAAAGCTCATTTTGTTTTGTTTGGATTAAGAAAAAATCTCAACCTCAGTTAGCAAAAAATGAGCGTTTTTTCGGAAGCCCACTCTCCTAGCTTTTGCATCAGCGTTCACGTTCCAAACCGTTGCATTCATTATATTATGTTTTAAAATTTGCATGCTTTCTCTCTCCTCTTAGCTTTCAACCTGCCAGGCATAAGATATCTGGTTTTTTTTTATGTTGCTTTCTTCCTCCCATGACCTCCTGTGCAGCACCTCCATATTTGCTTCGCTTCACCTCCTGAGCTCCAGACATCCAGCACCAGGTCGCGTTCAGATCTGATTCTCTTCTACCTTAGTTGAAGCTCCAACATCTCCATGTTGAAGCACCGAGGTCTGAGATGAAAGTGTAGTTTCTTGAGCAATGGTTTCTCCACGTTACAGTTGCGTCTCGATCTCCACCAGATCTGAGATTTTCATCGCTGGATCTACTCCTCATCGACTGTCCTTGGCAAGTAAGGTTCTTCCTTTCATCTCATTCGTTGCTGAAGGTTGCTGCTATGTTGAGTTTTTTTTTCCTCTTCATCGTCTGATTTTGCTCTGCCTACATCGTCTCATTCCTTGCTGTGCCGTCCTCACTCTGGTTCTTTTTTCTTTTTTTAATGAACTATGAGTAGCTTTCGTTTGTTGCTTTGGTTTATAAAGTCTGAACTATTTGCTCTACTTTCATTTTTTAATGGGGTTTGAAATAAATGGGTGTTTATGTAGATAACTATACTATTCTGTTGCTGAGTTTTTCCAAAAGAATTTGAAGTTAAATGGTGATAGTTGTTTGTACATTTCGGTAAAATAAAAGAATGCATGTCCTCGTGTTACTTGTCTTTTGCGGGCAAGAGGAGTGACTAAGACAAACAAAAGAAAAGACAGAATTTAATAAGGCAGCCATGTCAGATTATTTAATCATATTGCAACTATCTTAATCAGATTTGGTTCAATAAAATACTACAATGTCGTAATATGTTCTCAAATTGCATGCTGTGCATATATCAGACCAATGGAAAATCTTGACATGCCTTAAATATTATATATAATGTCTAACATGCATTTCACACAAGTGCCTCAGATTTTTGGTGTTAGCGATTTTTATAGCTTCTTCTCCGCTCCTCTGATAACAATACCAATTCCTTACATATGTTGTTAAATATTTGGCTGCTTTCGATATCGTAGGGAACGAGGAGTATTCAAGGCATAGTCCTAGACTTAAAGGAAAGATCTACTAAAGATCATAAGGATGAAGTAATTTCTGGGAAACACCTTCAATGGGGTTTGAGTTTTGCAAATGCTCGGGCATTCCTTAAGCAGTTGAACAAGAAATATTTTCAACAAGTTGAGATAGACGAGAGGCTGTAGTGCTTCAAACCAAGTCCTTCGAAACAATGGTGAACTTGGTGCTGCTACAGATCAATAATGTGAGATTGGAAGGGAAGTTCAAATCTTTCCCCTTAGAATTGAAGTGGTTATAATGGAAAGGATGCCCTTTAAAGTTCAACTTGTACTTCATATCAATTGAATATTAATTTATTTTAGGTTTTTGTAATTAAATATTTAAGATATTTTACTTATTAATTATGATTTGAAGTTTAATATTTTTTACTTATTAGTTAATCAAAAAATATAAACATCCTATTTTGTCAACTGGCTTTTAAATCAAATCATCCAAACGAATTTCAGTTTATCTAACTGACTTTTGAAAAAAAAAAAGTATCCAAACATAAATCACGTTACATTAATTGACTTTTTTTCTAACCTCAGTTTGCTAACCTTAGTTGAATCCTAACCTCAGTTGTAAATTTTTTAATCCAAACACACCCTTAAAAGTTGGAAATCAGGTGCTCTAAGACCGGGCGGTTCAAACTCTTTTTTGTTTTTTTTTTTTAATTTTTAACCCTAAACAAAAAAGAATAACAAAAGCCCTCACTTCAGATTTTTGATTTCGCACGGCCGCACTGACGCTGTCACTCGCGATTCCAGAGATTCTCTTCTCCTCCGCTATCATTCAAGGTTCCAGACTCTCTAGAGCTCTGAGTCCATCCTCTGTCGTTTGCCTCACCGTCCCCGATCACCATCTCCTTCGAGCTACAAAATCCAAGTCCGTCTGCTGATACTTCGTCGTACACTCGTCGAGCTCCAGATCCCAAATCCAAACTCGTCACTTACTCGGTTGAGTGGGTTCCTCACTTCCTCCGTTCCTCGGTTTGCATCGTGCCATCATCTCCTCTGTCTGCCTTACAGTAAGTTTCTTTTCCTCTGCTACTCCAGTTTCTTTCTTCGTTTGTTGAACTCCAATTTCCTCTGATTTCATCTCCCCCGTCTGCCTTGCAGTAGGTTTCATATTTATTTGTTATATTTTTATTATTTATATTATTATATGGATATGTGATATTTTTTTAATTTATTTATACGTCTCCGGTTCGACAATGTAAACCGCTGCCCTTTCCGGTTCGTTCAGACTGGTTTTTAGAGCATTGGATTGCACATTGCGGAGTTATAGAATAATAACTGGCTTTATTGCCTGGAACCAGCCGAAGGTACAAGGTATTAGGTAACTCGAATGGTAATCAGGTGAAGTGATACTTATACCTCACAACTTCTCTTCGTTTATGTTCCTTTGAACAGAATTCACCATAGTCTCTGGAAGAAGACTTTAGTGATCGATCCGTGTGTTGAAGAGACTATCCCATCGCCATTATGGTATGTGTTTATTTCTCTATCTGTTTGGTCGAGTTCCCCCCCCCCCCAAAAAAAAAAAACCCTAGCATTCTTCCGGCGCAACGCAATTGATACCTAGATTTCGTGAAGTTATTCGCACTCTCTTCTTCTTTGTTTGCTCTTCCCGTAGCGTTAGTTGGAAAACCCGAGATGGTTTGACTTATCCTTCCTTGCCATAAGGTGTTGTGATCCTAAATCCCGGGTTCAGTGTATTTTCCATGTCTTAAGTTTCTCTGAAATCGAAGCAGTAGGATCCGTTACTGTCAATGTGAATTTCACCCCATTCTTAACCCATCTCTTACATCTGTGACGATTTGTTCATTTGTGCAGCTTCCTCTTTCCCTACTCAAGACTGCCCAAGGGCACCCGATGGTAAGTATTGTATATGTCTGGTTCTTTCAGAACCTTTCAGAAACATTGTGTGCTTTACCTTTCCTTTATAACTTCTGCTGTTTTGCAGGATGTGTAACTTTGTGGTTATTTAATATCTTGTAACAGTTGGTAGAACTGAAAAATGGGGAAACCTATAACGGACATCTTGTTAACTGTGATACGTGGATGAATATCCATCTCCGTGAAGTCATCTGCACCTCCAAAGTAAGTTCTGTTCACTGTCCCTTTCAGCTTTTGTTTCCATTTATCATCCTCTGCTTGTTTATCTACTATTCTGATAAGATTTGACAAAATTTGGTCGATATTGGTAATGTAGGATGGAGATAGATTTTGGCGAATGCCTGAATGCTACATACGAGGAAATACGATTAAGTACCTAAGAGTTCCAGATGAGGTGGGTGGTAGCATTTTTTCCCCCTATTATGATCAAGTTAAATTTTTTACGTTTTTTGTTCCCTGTTGCATTTATTCCCTGATTTATTGCTATTACTTGTTACTTCAGGTTATTGACAAAGTTCAGGAAGAAACCAAGAGTCGCACAGGTGCATTGTTTGGCACATTAGTTTGGTTTTTCATCTTCATGATCAATATTGATGATAAAAGCTGGTGATTTTAGAAAACATCGATCATACTCACCATAATTAAGACGCCTGTTGTTCCCCCCGGATTGCCAGTAGTTTCAGACTTGGGTTTTCCCTTGATAAGCAAAACACTTGTATTTTTAATGAGCTAAGACTAATATATTTGTACTATGAATGACTTTATTTTCCCCATATTGAATTGCTGTTCATTTAAGTTGCTGAAAACTCGAGAGTTATCTAAGATGTAACCTTTTTCAGATCGCAAGCCGCCTGGGGTGGGTCGAGGTAGAGGAAGAGGCAGTGCGGATGGTTCTGGGGGGCGTCCAGCAAAAGGAATTGGGCGTGGCCTTGATGATGGTGGTGCAAAAGGAGCAGGTGGAGGCCGGGGCAAGGGTGGGCCAGGTGGAAAGCCTGGTGGAAGAGGTAAATTGCCCCTTACATCCTCTCCCTCTGTAGCTGTTCATATGTCATCTCCGTTGGAAGATTTCCAACTGCTTTCTGCATTAGTACTGAATTACTGATGTTTTCACCTCGATGAGCTGCTGATACATGAAATTGCTCCTTGTGGTAAAAATTTGAAGTATAAATAAACCAAATTAATAATTAATACACATGTTTATTAGTTTTATTGGTTTCAGCGTTGAAATTTATAGTTGGGAGATTTCTTTACATTTAGCTGCATATGCACTTCAACTCTGTGAACTACTCATTTCTGTTGATGTGTCGTTTTAGTGGAAGCTCAAACACTGAATAAATCTAATCCAGTTTCTTTGCTTTTGGTTGTAGGTACTGGGCGGGGAAGAGGTTAATATAGTTTGTGCCGTAAGACAGCTTAAAATGGGCCAGCTTGCTACTTTTAGAGGCATTTGTGCCCATTTTATTTGGGTGCATTGACAGATTTTCCTGCATGTTATCTGTTTATCCATGGATGATTCGTTGCCATATGCTTTCATGGTTATGGTTACAAAAATATTGGTGATACCGTAGAACTTGATGAAAGCCTCTAGCCGTGCATCATATTTCAACCATCATGCAAATTCCTTTGCCCAATGAGTAAAGATGATGGTGCTGAACACCTAATTTATATTTAATTCATGGAGCCTTTGGTTGGTCGCTACTTGAAATCATTTTCTAGTCAATTTTGAAGCCAGTTTTTAGGGTTTATTTTTCTTAAAAAAAACGCATGAGATGTGTTTGGTTTCGTGAAGCTTTGAAAGACAATATCAACATTTCGATTTTTGAATATTCTTCACCCAAATGTCACACACTCCTGGCCATCTTGATTTGATTTAATTTTACATGATTATTCGTGACCTTATATTAAAACAAAATGGGTGCCCACAAGATATCCAAATACAGAGCCTTGATTTTTCAACATAGTTACATGTCTGACAACTGACAACCAACAACCAATGTTGTCATTTCATATTGTTGTTTGAAGGAACATGTTATTTCATTTTAATTCTCTGATGTTCAATACTTCTTTTAATCTTATTTATAAATTATTTTTATTAATTTCACCAATATTAATATAATAAAAATACAAAAAATAATAGTAAATGAAATTTTAAATACAACTCTCAAGTAAAAATAAAAAGTAAATAAATAATATATTTTTTTTAACTTTCTCTTCCTTAATTCTCAAGAGTAGTTTAGGATTTTAACTTGAAACAAAACAATATTATCAATTAATAATTTATAAAGTGGATTACATTTTGCTTCTAAAAATGTAACTAATATACAGGATTGGATGAATAGACCGCAATAGAAGTCTAGTAGGGCTGATGACGATTTTTCTTGCGAGTTCTTTCTGACTTCATTATCAACGTGCTTGAAATCCATGATCGATTCACCTGAGGTGAATCATCAGACAGCCAGCAACAAAGGCGACCGTCTTCCCCACCAGTCCATCCAAAAATGCCTTGGTCACAGCCAGGTCCACCGTTAACTCTTGACATGGGTAATACACTCCTTACAACACTTGTATGGCCACCCTGGAGAATTGCTTCCGCAGATCCTACGGTTGCTGCCCCGTTATTATAACTTACAGGAAAGTAGCCCAAAACACCAGCATTAGTGCCACCAATCACCCAAAGTTGTTGAGCTTCTCTGGAGTAGTGACAGTCAACAAAATAGTCAACCTAACAAGAGAAAGTACAATATCAGTTTGTGGACTTGTGAGTACAGAATTATAGAAGAATTCCTCATAGTAGAAGCAGCTGAAAGGGCTCGGAAGACCATCCATCCGCACTTATAATAGGCAGCTGAAGATCCCTACTCCCTTTCCACTACGGCAGGTCGCATCAGCTTATGTGATGGAACTGACACCCTGAAGCGTAGCTTCTTTCTCATGGAGAGCTCCAGAGGGAAAAAAAAGTTTGAAAGTTATATCTCTCACAATATACAAAATTCTCCCCTTCTTATAAGTAATTATGTAACATCTACATAAGCATGGTGCCATTCCAGTTCGCTAAAACATATTCCATTAGACAGGAAAGGACTCACATTATCCAAACTCCAACCTTCAGAAGCTAAAGAACGTGCATCTGTGAAGTTTACTTCATTTCTAGCATCTTTCCAATCCCAGATACTAAAAGAAATCAGAGTAGAATACACTTTTAGAATCAAGCTAAAAGGACAACAAAAGAAAACTTAGCAGAGAAAAGGAGCCAGGATACAAATGTGCAAGTTCTCAAAATCCATGTTAGGTGCATATTAGAATATAATTGCTTCTACAGGCAGTCTGCTGGAAGTACTAACTACACACACAATATGAGTTCACATGATGTTGTTCGAGGCTTTTACCAGCGTGAATTACCTTTAGAAACTATTAACAAAATTGAACGCAAGACAAAGGCACAAAGCACGTCATCATTTACAGGTTACGTGCAGAGAGAACTATATAACTATCAAGCAAACCATTTAAGGAGATAACATACCTCAGGGTTTCAATATGCGTTAAACACCAAAGCTTCCAACTTTCACCGATAAACCCCACCTTTGAGATTGAAGTTCCCACATTAATCACCTGCATTTTGGGTGACAATTTGTATGGATAGTTTACTGGAATCCAAACTCAAGTATAAAATAACTCTACCAAAGAGAATGGTTTTTCAAAATCTAAAGCTCTGTGGATACATTGCATAATGTCAATGACATGTATAAATATATATATATATATATATTATATCAATTTGAAATCGTAACTACTGAAACTAAAAAACAACAGCAAATCTGCATTGGAATCCCACACTTACTGATTCCAAATGATCATCATCATTGATATCTCCAGCAATATCAAATGTGCAAATCAACCCATCTACTGAAGCAGAAACAAGCTTCCCTTGTTGGTTGGGGACAAAATGAACCTATCAACAATCATATGCTCAGACTAAATTTATGAAATCGTGACACATGTTCAGTTGCTAGTATCAATCCATTCAGTAAAAGAATAAACTTTACAGTCAATCAATATCAGTGAATCAATATTGCCAACATCTTTAGATGACACGTTACAAAGTGATAAGTGGTCAAGAAATATGTCATTAACAAGGTAATGGATTGATTGCCTTTCAGATACTCATTATATATATGCGACATACAATATTTATTTATTTGTTTATTTTAAGAGAGAGGGGGGTCTTCAAGGCCAGAGTTCCAAATTCTTATTAGTACCATTAACACAAAACACCAATCACATTTAAATTATGCTGATTGACTCATGAAGTTCAATCAGTTTGCACAGCACAAACCTGAGTTACATCATCCACGTGAGAATCTTCCAAGCATGCAATTTGTTTGTGGTTTCTCCAATCCCAAAAGATTATCTGAGTAAAATTATCCAGCACAATATACCCTACCGTAAATATCAGTCTAAAACAATTTGTATGGTATCATGTGATGTAAGTCACTGTAGTTGAAAGCAAACCTGGGATTTACAGCCAGCAGCAATTAAATTCCCACCAGGCCCTCCAACAGAGAAGCTGAATACCTCTTGAGAAGAACCAGCTAATATGCAGGATACCTGCAGTTTGATTATCAGCACTTACATTGATAATTGTGCACGTTCATCATTAAATCCAAAAATATAACTATTATAACAGCAACAAAGCATGTGTACCTGCTGTGATGTTCGAGTATCCCAAATTCTAATAGTTCCATCCGAAGAACAAGAGCCTAGAACATGTGAATTCAAGAGCCCTGAAAATAAAATTTGGTTGATGGTATCAGAATGACCCTTGCACTCTCCATGATAGTGACCGGCCACTGGTGAATATAATTTCACTGTGTTCGTTGATAATGACACTGCCATTGTACTCCAATCATCCCTTCCATCCAGAACAAGCATGAAACCACCCAAAAAAAAATTACAACCCAAGACACAGATATCATTGGATTTCTAATTAAATGACACACAAGATGACTTAATTAGTTTTTCGACTAAACTTTTGTGGAACTAACTAGAACAATAGCCAAAAACATACTTTGGGACAATTTGAAATACATAGTCATCGCCGAAGTTGGTTTGGATGGAGTTTTTGAGTCTGAATCGTTTAGCAGGGTTAAGATTGAGTAAAGGTTGTGCCTCAACATCCATGGTCGTAGTGGCTTCCATTTCTCTTTCCCGTTCAATCTCGCTAATCGCTGTATCTATATGCAGAAATCTATAGGAACAAGAAGGAATAGCGCTTTTTTAAGTCTGGCAATATTGATACATGTGTCATGAGCCCTAACAAGGATAATAAGGATGGAAAACAAGTTAAAATGTTTATTGCACACATATATAATACAAATCTAGCCAAGCTACAACAGTCAACAATAGTTTTCATTTCTTTCAGGCCCTTTAATTCAACAACTTCATAAAAAGATTTCAAACTTACATTAGATGTGTTTATATACTTGACACTTGCATGAACATTTGTGAATGACATCCTTAATCTTACTAAGGCAATCTAACACCAACAAATTCAGTATGTGTGCAAAGCATCCAATATGAAATAGTTGTCCGTTAAGCATCAAGCACCAAAGTATTGATCAATGATAAGTTCCCCTTCAAATTCCTTATATATCTTGTTCTCCTTCAATTTATTTTTTTTAATCTTGGTGAAATGAGTCTACTGATCACTCTCATAAAAGAAAACACTCAAAGTCTTGTAACCCCTTTAATTTGGCATTATATGTTGTTCTGGATCAAAAGGCATGTCTTGCCACCTATCCACGCACATTCTCATATTTTTATAAAGTAAAACACCGTCCATGAGGTAATAGTATTCAAAAATCTATCATGTCAGTTGTGATTTCCTCAAAAATTGATACCAAAATCTTAGAATCTGTCAGTACGTATAAGCGTAGCCTTAAAATTAACGTCTACAACCAAGGGCAACAAAGCAATATAAGGAAAATTTGATCGCACGGTTGTTATCTACTTATATTTAAAACCAGATACGTGTAGAACTGATCCAGAAAATAGACAAAACTGAGCAGCGCAAACATATCATCATACCAGCAACATAAGTTGACGCAACAGCAATGAGGGAGGTTGGTTTACTTTCAATTCATAGTCATATCCTTCTGGAAAGAACACTGTCGTCTCCAACTTCATCACAGAATATAAGAACGCCAGTGATTATCACAAGAGGCGACGGAACAGAGAACAAGAAGAATGAAGAGAACGAAAAAAGAAAACTGAAAAAACCTGGTTGCACAAGAGAGTGTGGGAGAGGAGAGTGAGCTCTGTGGCGACGGTGAGCTCGGATGCAGGGGAGGAAGGCGTGAGGAGTGAGACGATGGGCGAAGTTGGAGTTGAGGCACGCCAAGCAGCAGGTGGAGGACTCGGTTAGGTTTTTCAAAGTTTATATTTTAATAAACTTAATTTATTAAAAAAATGTCTAATATATTAATTTTTTTATAATACTCTCACCTCTCTTGGGTATATTATGTTTCTTAAAACATAATATACTTTAATAAAAACAAAATTTTATAAATGATTATTTTTTAATATTATTCTTTCTATTATATATATTTTTTAATTTTTAATATTTACTTGCAAATGGAGAATTTAATTATGAATATTTTTAAAAATTATATTTTTATTTAAAAATAAAGTTATAAAATATATTTTAATTTTTATTGATACATATGATTTTATGTAAAATCATTTTATAATTTGAGATAAAAGTAACAAATGTATGCAAGTATATGCGCGTGTTTATGTGTAGAAGTAAATGATTTTAATAATAAAATTAATTTAAATTGTATGTGTACATTTATGTGAAACTATATAAATATATATTTAAATACATTTATGCATATAATAGCAAGCTTATACGATGTATATATTCTCCACACAGTAAAATCGACCACCATCCATCTTCTGCCTTCTGGACTACACAGAAATGCTTTTATGCAATGTGGAGCCTTGCCTTCTCCACGCAGTAACCTAGCACCACCATCCATCGCCTGCCTTCTGGACTACACAGAATGTTTCTTACCCCTATGTTAAGTTTGCTCTTCTGAAAAATAAAAGGAAGTAGTCAAGTAACAGCATTAAAATAATCAGCCAAGAAAACCGTTACAGGGAGAAAAGAAGGATAATGTGATACAAGAGACAGTTAGGTCTGAAATTCAAACTACGTTCAAGGAACATACAACTCGCATATATAGTAGCATATTTTAAGGTTCAGGCTTAAAAACAAGCGTACTTCCAAAAAAAAAAAAAAAACCCAATGCTGACCATAAGCCAGGAAGACCATTCTCATCTCTACATCAACCTTGTCAGAGAACTCTTATTTTAGCTCGTACAGGTGATTTTCTGCCCCAGCACCGGCGGTGAAAAAAAAAAAAAATCAGTTTACACCTATTTAATAAACTATATTCTTTCAGTCCTCTTTATAAATTATTTATATCAACTTTATTAATATTAATATAAAAATATATAAAAAATAAAAGTGAATAAAATTTTAAATATACCCCTTTATAATAAGTTTAAAAAAATAATGTTATATTATTTTTTCTCTCTTATCAAGAGTGATCTTAAAAATGCCCTTTAAATATTACTCAAAAAATTGTACTGTAATTTAAAGATGGAATCAAATAAATTTTTAAAATGTGACTTATAAATAAAATTAAACAGAGTATACTATATATATAGATTTTACAGATTTAATTGATAAATTTAAAAAATTAACAAATTAATTATCAAAATACAAGGTGCATCACACTCACGCCGTAAAAGCCGAGAAAATGGCGCACCGTCATTCCTCTCGCGGTCTTCCTACGTGGGCAACCAGCGAAGCGAGGAGAAAACGACGTCGCAGGATGTCGCACCGGACTGCTTAACCCTAACCATTAAAATCTCCCCCTTCCTTCCTTCCTTTCGAACCAAACACACAGTAAAACGCTAAAGCCCTCTGTAAGCCGTCGCCGCTAATTTCTCCAAATCAGGACAGGGAGAAGATGGGAGGGTCGCGAAGAAAATTGAAGCGGTCAAAACCAAAGGTGCAAGTGGGACTGCCAAAGAAGAAGCCAGGAGTATTCAAGCCTGCGTTCTCTCTTCCTCCCAAGCTTCTAAACTCCTTGGCGGACAAAGGCCCTATATGGGACGACAAAGGTAGCGTCATTCACAATTACAAGTCATTCGGCGTCGTCTCCAATCCCAACTTGCTCAGCGTTAGATCTCGTACTCCTCATATTGTGGAAAGCGATTCCCTTCAGGTTCCCCTTCCTCCTGCTGCCACCGATGATGCCCCTGCGGAATCGGAGCTCCTCGATCCCGGTAGCGACCTCGAAGAAGACGGTCAGTCGGATACTTCTTAGTAAACATATATCATTATTTATTAATTTTTCAAAACCATGTTCGCTCTTTCAATACGCCTGTGCTTTTACTTTTAGTTACATACATCAAATAATTATATCATTGACAACTGATCAACGCGACCAAATTTTGCCTAATTTTTCAGGTGTAAACAGGTATCTACTGTCATGCTTGCTTATAGTTACGAGGCTATGCAATACTATTAAATATTTGACATTCGATATGTAATAAATGGAGAAAAATCCGTTCGTTTTGATAAACATTTAAATGTATAACTTTAGTACTAAGTCTCTCCATGTCAAACTTTAACTTATTTTCAAGAAGGCCGCTGGAGGGTCTCTTCCCGATCCCAGCGATTACACAACCACGTCGGCCGTGGCTGTTACAATTGTATTAGATGTACCATGTTTTGATTATTTTCATTTTCCCCTCTCCACCAAGTGCGGCGGAGTGAAAATTTAAAACTATTCTTATTTATTTCGTCTCCCTTTTTAATCTGTCACTCAGTTCACCTGTGGTAAATCTATTCATGGCAATCTTATTTAGTTGATGGTCGAGCTGCCCCTCAACTTCAGAAGCACCTGCACATGGTTTTCTGAATTATTCATCTTTTCTTTGGATAATGTAGACTTGAAATCAGCTTTAGGAAAGAAGCGAAGAGATGGAAAAAGTGCACCATCTCAACCTTTGACAGCAATGCAACGGCTTCATGTTGGACGACTGGTAGATAAATATGGAGATGATTATCAGGTTTGATATTTGCGTTTATTTCAAGAAAATTACAACTTGAGAGAGATAGTGATGCTTACATTTTTTTTTTTTTGGCTTTGAATCAAACTGAAATGCATTCATAAAGATGAAAATGAACAGATACAACATCCTGCAAAGGGGAAATGCTTACATGTTTATCATCTCTATTTTTTTTTTTTGGCCAGGGTATGTTCATGGATATGAAGCTAAATACCATGCAACATTCAATTGCGACTCTACAGAAGCTCTGTGAGAGGTACCATATGTATAAAAATAAGAATCCCCTGCTTGTGGCTAATTCTTAAATACTCTGGATTAGTTATATGACTAAAGGATGAAACTTGTATCCATTGATGGCATTCTGAAGCTGCACTTGGATTTCGCGGGAATCTTTTTGCATTGGATCAGCTAAATTTTGCGTGAGAGGAAATGCTTTTCATCATTATATATTTTTCAGTCCTTTGGAATTTTTGAAAGGTGCTGCAAAATCAAATCAAACATTATGTATGGGGGAATTTTGCTTTCCATTGTTCCCGTTGGAGGGCGGAAATTCTAGATTCTAAAGGGTGCAATGGACATGAACAAATCGTATTCAGTTGAAACTCACAGACGATGTTTATTATATTTTTATTGAAAAAAAATGATTAAAGCATAAGTAAATGTGCGACTTTAGTAATACATGACAGTAAACAAATGTTTTCTGACAATTGGTGAGAAGGTCGCAAGAAAAAGAATAGCAAAATTCTTTGCTCCTGGTGAAATGAAACGCCTCTGCGGGCAATGTTTCGCTTCCTTTCAGTCCTCAGCTCATCGTTATTTGGTTTTACCTCTCATCCTATATGTATAAATTAAATTGTTGTTTAGAAAAGTTTTAATTTATTTTTATTATATATATTATCATCAAGAGTTGTCTCATGTAACTTTTTGTTTTACTAATTGAATATTGTAACAGGATAAAATTGGATGAAAGTAATTAATTATCTATTAAAATGAAAAGAATTTATAGAATTTATGAAAAGAATCATCAATTCTTTTAAAATGTGATTTATTTATAGAGTGGAACGAGCATTATTTTAAAATTAGATTCAATGTACGAGAAAATAAGCGGAAGGAGGTTTTTAACTTTTTATCCCTCCATTTTCCTCCACTTTTTTAATACCCATCATTCATTAATTTTATCATTTAAAAAAATTATTTAATAAAATAATTTGAATGGTAAAAATTGAAGAAGTGGAAAAAAATGGAGGGAAGAAAGTAGAAAAACTCCACTCTCGAGGGAATAACTAACATTCACCATAAAAAAAATTGGTTAATATGAAGTTGCCATAAAAATATCAATTTTATATAAATAAAAAAGAAAATAAATACCTACAACACATGCAAATATGTTAACATTAAAAAGATTAACAGAAGGGAAATAAAGGCAACATAAATGTATAAATGGGTACGAGTGGGAGATTAAAATAAAGATTCTATGAAGGAATGCAAAATTCTGGATATTTAACATTATTATTATGTTGAGAAAAGTTTAATGTAATCCATCAAGATTGTGAGGCCAAAAAGGTTTCATCAACACTAATTTGATATATTGCAATCCATTGAATAAATGTTTCCAAGTTCAAATTGAAAGTAGTTATTACTTTTTGAAGAATAGCCATTTTATATGTTATAGTCTGCATTAAAGGATCAAACACGAACACAGAGTTAATATTATAGGCTTGTCGTCTTTTTATTCCTTTATTTAATACTTGATATCACATAAATAGAGGATCATATTGTAAATGGAAAAGCTAACTTGATCAAATTTTACTTTCATTTTCAAAACTTATAGCATGTGAAAAGGTGAGTTTTGTGTCTGCTGAAAAGACAACCAGCAAACAAACTTCTGAGAGCCATCCGATTTCTTATACGTGACTCAGTAGCTTGAAACGCACGCAGAGAAAAGAAAAGTTGTACTCTAATTTCATGTTGTGCTGGTTTCTCTGATTAGTTAAAACTACTGGACAGCTCAATCTGATCTGCATAAAAAAGACAATGATTCTTAAACTACCGATGTATAATCCCTTTTAATAAGTTTACATTTGAAATTGAAGGCAAGTAAGTCAAAAGATTAAAGCTAATAAATTTGAATCAACCAATACACATTCTTGCCTCCTTCAAGATATGATAGCATGGATGATCATGTGCAAGTTCCCTGGTAACCAAGCAAATAGCGTAGGCACAGTAAAAAACTACCTCCACTTTATCAATCCTCAGCCTCTAGCAGTGGGAGAGACCAATAGTAAAACCTTGAATTTTCGTCATCTCATAGGAGGAAGGCCAGTACCTGGTAGTAGTATTTAGAACAAAAACCCATCATCCAGGTTTCATCACTTTTCGTGATAACTTCCACCACAAGTGCTCCTTCCTTCAATGCTTACCGAGCCATCAATTTCAATTGTAGCAGTACCATCATTAGAGCTCTGAGTTCGTTGATGCATAACCACATAGATTCGTTCATTTGTATGGAGGGGTTGGTGAAATCCAACACGGCAACACCATATAACATCCAAGGAGGAAAACGGAAACAACATACAGAAAACAAAAAATGGAAATGATTGGCAAGAAACACAAAACATACTAATAATTAGAAAGGGTGAAAAAATTTTCTAAAATGAAAACTGGTCCCTAGGTTCGTTGATTTGTACGGAGGGTTGCTGATATCCAATATACATTATGCTCATCGGAGAAGAAAAAAAATATTATAAATCATTATTGTTATTTCATTGACTTAGGGGGACCAAACTTACAATAGTCAAGGGATGATGAACCAACATCGGGAAGAGGGAAGGAGAAAGAAGAAACTTGGAAGGGAGAGGATATGGAGATCGAGCTGAAAAGCCAATGCTTGCCGCAACTTCGCTTCCGACGTTATCATCTAGAGAAAGGTGGAGTTGGGAATATAGAAAGGCTCCCCCTTTAGCCCGATTCTTCATTTTAAATTTTATTTTTTAAACTCGACCTTTATATGAAGGGCTCAGGGCCCGCAGACCCTTCTTTAAAAAATAAAAAAATTAAAATTAAATTGAGTATTATAAATTAATTAAAATATTTTGAAATTTTAAAAAATATAATCATCATATTTTTTTAGAAATTAAACAACATATGTCTAGAAGTTTAGTAATAAAATTTAAATTTTGATTTAAAAGCAGTTTATTTTTTATAAATACAAAAATATAATAATTATAGAAAAATAAAAAATATCAAAAATTTTATACTATACGTTAATATTTATTAAATTATATTAAATTAATTTTAAAATAAATTAAAATTAATAATAATATAATGCATGTAGAATTAGGTGAGCGAGTCATTGGCTTCAAACACATGTTTCACAAAAAAAATAGTAATAATATAATAGGACTTGAAGGGCCGCCCGAACTCGAGTCTTTTTTTTACAGGACTTATCAGGACTTATCAAGGCCAAATCCTTAAACCCAATTATTTTTAAAAAAATTTATTTTTAAAGTTTGAACTCTTATTTAAATAGGATTTCTAAGCTCAATTCTTCAGATTCAATCCTTATTTTTTACTCTAGAAAAAAGTAGATGTTAGAAGGCATGAGAAAAATTTAAGGGAAGCAAAAGAGAAGCTTTTATAAGTGAAACTGTGAAAGACTTGAAAAAACAACGAAGCCGGTAATTGTGAAATTCAAAATAGAATCTCCAATTCAGTAACTCACCATGCAAGACAGCACATAAGAGGTGGGCAAGCCATGGGGAAGCTAAATGAACTTGAATTACACATGATGTCTGAGGAGGCAGAAAAGTCAGATGTGGGTCCCACAAACAGAGCTCACGCGAATCAATGAAAGGCAAGGTGAAGATTTATATCATACATCAAATAGAATGTGGACTGTGGAGGTTCAGCTTGTGAAGCTATTTTTCAGTATGAGGATGTCATCCACCCTGGTCTAGAGGAGTTCTAGTGAATAATGGGAACTGAAAATTGCAGATTTCTTCGAGCACGGTTACCAAGCCGAGCACAAGCAAATACCTTTGGAAGATAAAATGAATGGGGTGTCAAAATACTTTTTAGCCATGATATAAACCAATGTATTCAAGGTAGATAATTAAACAACCCACGTGAAGGAAAAGGAAGATAAAAAAACAGAGCAGCATATTCTCCTCCCACTGCCAGCTGCGTAAAAGATCGAAGACAAGATAAAAAGGACACAAAATTAACATGGAAAGCATATTTTTTTTTATAAAAAAAAGTCAATGGTATAAAAGGATGATTGCTCCATATCACAAGAGTCGGTGGTTGATGATAGTAATTAAGTGGGTTATATATCATTAATGTAATTTCATTTTAATTATGACATTTCTTCAATTAAAAAAGAAGGATACTTGGTATGAGTTTTTGACAAATAGCAAAAAAAAAAAAAAAGCACCGTATAGACAAAATTATATATCAAGGACAACAAAAAAAAAAGTCAACCATCCAAAAAAGACAAACAATTCACATGTCTTGTCAGATCCTTGCAGGGTGAATGCTTGACTTTCAAACTGAAGGCCTAAAGAAAACAAAGACAGAGAAGCCGATGCTCGGTAAATGACCTGTTGCTATTCACTGATACAGTGAACTAAGTTTGGAGCTGCTGTAATTCGCCGCTTGTCTGGAGAAGTAATAAAAGATATACTGATTGATTCAATGAGGTTACTAGCTAATCATAAATGGATGTGTTTCTCGGTTGTTTTACGTACTTGCTAACTGTCTTTACCACCACATAAGTAGCCATCCTGACTAAGAAATTGCTACACCCTACATCTTTGAACTTAAACGTCACATTATGTTGAATGTTATTTACAATATACATATATATAAATATATAACAATAGACAACCGTTAGCTAGACGCCCACTAACGCCCTACACTGGGATTCCCAATGCTCCTTTATTTGTTCAACCCTCTCAGCCCTCTCTGTCCGGAGCCTTTGTTCCCAGTATCCCTTGCAGCTGCCAGAATATACAAACAAAGTTGGACAATTGCAATCAAGATTATAATAAAAAGAGGTTTGTAAAAGCCTCATCCTTCTCTTGCTACATCCCCTATGCAGTTAAGCTACCTTCGTAGTGATCCACTTTCTTTCTCTTGCCTATCCCACCCGAGGAAAAGCATGACTATAAAATATAAAGCAAGTGGGACCATACCTTCGGCCTAACAAAATGTTTAACTCTTCCAAACGCACGGCACCTTGATAGACTCCTCGCTACAATCAACAAGAATAGAACTCTGTATGATTACACATGGTCCAAGTATTATGAGTGATTCAGGGACAGGAAAATAAAAATATGATAGACTGTAGTTGCAGATTCTGAATCAGTTCCTATTTTATGGTAGTAGCTAAGATTAGATCCAACCATAGCGGCAAAATGATTCCTAAAATAAGCAATCATTGCAAGATCAAAATAAAATAACTTCAAGAACAACAGAGAATTGCAGATGATTGATTTAAACTTAAACTAAAAGTATCAGCCAGTTGCAGTTTTTTGGCCCTTTTGAGAACGAGTTAATCATATGGCATTTGAATATAACAATTTCAGTGAATAGACAAGAGATCGATCACTAGCCATCCCTTGTCCCTTAATTCTTATTACCCGCAATGGACGAAATCATCAGTAATAGACAAGCATATGATACCCTAATAATTAAATGAAATTGCCTGTCTTTGTATATTCCTGCCACAAGGAATGGAGATGTGGGAGGACTCACTGTTCACTAATACATCATGCATGGCTTACCACTCGGCAGAGAGGACATTTCGCATTAGAATTTGCTGCCTCAAGTCCATCAACAATAGTTACTGATGCAGACGAGCAAGCACACATGTAGCAGAATATGTGGCCACAAGTAAGACAAACTGGATCAAATACTGTGTCCTGTCACACGAGCCAGATTAATTATCAGTGAAAGATGAAATTGAAGGGCGATATAGACCTATTGCTTGTCTATTACAAACTTCAAAGAATAATGATGCTGAGAAGCTCAAGTCCCAAAGTAACAGAGGACGAAAGCCATGAGAAGTATAAAGGAGGTCTGTATTTTAAAACGCATCTAAAATATTTAAAACAAGTTTATGAAATAAGCCACTTAGATAAATAAGTTTTTTTAACGTAAACTAATTGTCAGTTCCAAGTTTCATCAGCAGAACTTGCTTCAATATCGTCTTATTGGTGCTGCAGATATACTCAAATAGATAACCTCGATGGTTGTTCAGTCCAAGCTTGACATTCATAATGCAAGTAATGAATGAAAATCCCAGTAACTTACCAAGCATATAGAACAAGTCAAGTCAATATCAAGTTTGATGGAATCAAATCGCTCACAAGTAAGTGATGGTTTATCGTCCTTATATATGAGGGAACATCCATCAAAGAAAGCAGGTGGCCTCTTCATTGATTTATTCTTGGTTTCCCTTAAATTGATGTGGAATGCCATGAGCTCACAAAGCCAGGGACTCTGAAGAATTTCCATGTGCTTACTCTGGGCTTCTGACTTAAATAATTGTCCTTGTTTCGAATAATGAATCTGCGCTGACAGTGATGGTAACAAAACATAAGGAACATCACAGACTGGCCAAAAAAAAAAATATAAAAAACATCAACCATAATTTTCAAAACTGGAAAGTAGCAGGCCTTTGAACGTGAGGATAGGCATACCTTATCATATTTCTTGAGTATCTTTCGAATTGCAATGGCATTAATTAGAGCATAAATAACCAGGTCTTTGCCTTCTTGAACGAGGGCGGTTTGTTTTCCAGGTAAGTTGCCTTTGATCCAGAAAAGGTACTTTCTGAAGCCAGAAGCAAGATGCAGCTTCAACAACTTTTGGGCACGCTCATTAAAACAACCTACTACTTCAGTCATCCCGTCGAGAAGGGAAGGGAAGAAGCTTCCATCACACACTGAATAGTTATATTGAATTAGCTTATTGTCAAAAACACGAACATTAAATAAACCTCTCTCTTCCCATTTAGATCATCAGATCTTTCATAACAGGATCTAAAGTCCTTCGGAACTTCTTCATAAGAAATAAGCTTATCTGTCCAGTAAAGAAAATGGCAGATAAAAGCCTCTAATCTTCATAACATTGACTACGATGGAGACTACGGCAAACATCCGAAGCAAAAAAGAAGGTCGAGAGAATCCGTGAACTTCAAGTTATAAAAGCTATATCAAATCGCTAATAATTGTTATAAATCTCTGTTTCTCACCGTGTATTTTGGTTATAACATTGCTAAACAATACGATCGAGATATATACTTAAAAGTGAAAAAGATGCCAAATGGAGGAACCCATACGTTTAGCATTTCGTGTTATTGAGCCGGAAGGATACTTAACTTAAAATCTACGAATTCCTTCCAACAATGAACTTGGGAGAGACGAGATAACTAGTCTTGCAACAAAATGTGACAAATAAATAGAGCGGATTCATCAAAGAACTTAAAGCGCCAAATTGGAAGGGGAAAGGGAGCAAAAGAAAGAAAGAAAGAGAAGTATTACACTTACCTGGGCATTGGTCGCTGCAGGTTCTGACGCCAATGGCTTCATTAAGGCCTTTGCGGGATCGGCAGTCTCTGCTGCATTTTTTCAATATCTTCTTGAGCTTCTTGATACCAACTCCAGGAAGTTTCTTCTGCTGGCCTTGCATGTATTCTTCGTATTTCTTGCAGAACTTCATATTTTAATCAGCAAAAAATGTCTACTCTGCGATTCCAATTCGTTCGAGTTATGAATTTGCCTGAAGCTAATATGCGGATTGCGATGACATTGAATAGGAACGACATCTAATTTTGGAAGTTTATCATATGAAGAGAGAAGAAAGGTTCGTGGCTCCCCTTTATCTGAATTCTTCCTCCCCGGCCTATGCTGACGGTGCGACGCGTGCAAATTTTGAAGTGAGGAGGTGGCAGCATCCGATATTCACTCTGAAAGACTCATTGGTATTTCATGACAAATAATTAAACATGGACCGGTCGTTATGAAGAATTTGCCTGATGATGTTACGCAAAGCTCATGGTTTCCCTCATTCTTGATATACACTTGTGGTTATAATTCATTCTAGTCAACAATATGAGGTAACTTCTCACATATTGTAAATTTTGGCACTGATTGCTTCCTCGGTAATACTTACGAAGAAGGCACCACTTCATTTTTGTATGTCGACGCTTGGCGTATGAAAGCCCTTTGCTTTGATCCTCCGCACCAAACCAAATCTTCAAGTCTTTGCTATCATTATCCACAGTAACGTATGGAAGCCAACATCATTTATTCAGGGAAATCGGAGGTCCAATAATGTTGGTTCAATACGGAGGAGAACCGAATCTTCTTGGGACTTCTCGACGGCCTCAACAAGCCACTTTGCTTTGAGTGAACTGCACACGCATATTTGTCCCCCATTTCCTGCGCCTATTAATACTCCCTCCATTTTTAGCTTTCGAAACCACTCCCATATTCTGTTCACTCTTGTCACCGCTTGTACTCTTATTCAAACTAGCGACCAGCATTTATGTTCTTCTTCCGATATTTAAAAAAAAAAAAAAACAAAACAAAACATTGCCATCTATTTGACCATTCGTTCTCGGATGACAATATCATTAATGACCAAAGATAAGAATAATATTAAAATGACAGTTATAAGAAGAAGCGGAAACTGGCATCCAATTAATGTGTTGGGAGTGAACTTGTTGGCATATCTTGTAAAAAATATTTTTCAAATTGTGTCTAAGGAAGCTGTCTTTGAGAGATTTTGGTGCAATTGTCAGAATTTGTCAAGATTAAGCGAAACTTTTTGTTAAAATGAATAGGATGACAGAACAATAGAATTTCTGAATAACTTAGGAAAAGCACAAGAAAAAAGAAGAGGGTGTCCGAAGGTTTGGGAACCTTTTATAGGTAAAAATCTCATAAACTTTGGGCACTAAAACACTAATTAATGACACCTTAATACAAATAAAAATAGTTATAGATGATAATGAGATTTAATATAAAATATATAAACTTAAATAGTAATTAATAAAATGATAATTTTCTTTTAAATATGATTAAATAATTAAAATATCCAACAATCACCCGCATATTTCAAAAGAATAAAACAAAAATTTGGAAAATAATTTTGTAACTTCATAGAATAATTTCCAAATATTTAGAAAATATTGCCCAATATCGCTTCTCCTAGTAACCCATTTTCTTGCTTAAATTTACACCTTAATATATATGTACTAAGGCCATTGTACATTTGAGCAATATGAGATTTTATTTTTTGACACACATACACATAATATCCCCCTCACTTGTCGAAAGAAATGTTATTGTCTTAGTTATTCCCATGGAATATAACCATTTCAAATCAGGTATCTTCTAGACTATGAACCAATACTACATAGTATACAATGAAGTCAGTGAAGCATGCTTTATGAACTAACAACTCTTGAACCTACATTACAAGCCTTATTAGTCCAATTATACCCTCACAATTATTATTATTACGACAATATTGTGCTTTGACGAACATGTGCGTGCATGGTATTTCGACAAATGTTCTAGAGATTTTTTTATGATCTCAAAGAAGCAGTCTTGCTCCACATTTGTCTGAGTGATTTCATCACATGTATCTATAATGAATACACCTTTCATATGGAATATGAAATCATTAAGAGCTGCTTAGCACCAACAATACATTCTAACACTTTCTCATACACTATAAGAAGGGGATAAAATATTTTTAGTGCTAGCATGACTAACAAAGAATTTGTTCTTACCTATATGAACCTTTTTTATGGAATCACTAATCACAAAGGTTGAGTTACTATCATTGTTAGTTTTCAAGTGGCTTAAGTTCTCTTTCCCTTGATATTTCTATAATTTATTTCTTCCTCGAGGGCTTAGTTAATGAATTAGCTAGAGTTATATCTAATCTCACATACTCAATTAAGATAACTTCATTTTTTAGTAGCTACTTTATAATATTATGCCTCAATCAAATATGCTTACATTTGCCATTAGAGGTCTTATTTTTAGCTATAGCTATTGCTTGCTATCATGAATCATTGACATAGTCTATGTCAATTTTACTCTCAATATAATATTCGCTAGGAAAATTTTCAACTACCAAGCCTCATTACTTGCCAACTCTAGAGTAATAAATTTTAACTCTCATAATATTTTATTTGGCTACCAATGAAATTTGTCTTGTTTGAATATAAAATTTAGTTAGCATCATTATATTATTTTAATACAATGAAAATACATTATACATGATTTCAACATTTATAGTGTCCCTCCAAGTAATAAACTCTACCTCCATTATGGTCCCAATGTTATATTTGTTTTCATCACCACTTTAAGGTGGATAATCACCAATAAATCTTCTCACATGAGTACACAATTCAATATATAACATCCATGTATTTTATACCGCAGGAATCCACTTTTCACAATACCATAATTCAAAAATATTTCATTTAATTTTATATGACACATAAATTAAACAAATCATTACTCACAATCATGAATATTTATGCTGAGATAAATAGATCATGCACCATTTTTTAAGATACATCTATTTGCATTAGATAAATGATTATATTTTTATATGCTAGTTTCAAGTTACATAAAATTCACAAAACCTCCACTTAAATTTCCCTCTCTAACCCAAAAGAACCACCTTGGCATTTATAGAATGAGGCTAATAACTTGGCACAACACATTTTTAGAATCAAGCAAAAATAATTTTGCTAGACACAACCCCTACACTTTTAATTACCTCAATCACATTTAAAATATTTTCATACATTGTGAATAATAATTATAATTAAATTAAAACCTCTCTGTATAATCTCCTTCATTTCTAGTTAAATTAGAATTTCTCGTATTGTAAACATATCTACATATGCATACATCCCCACATTTTGGATATTAATTGGAATTTCACAAAAATTTAAATTCTACAAGCACATAATCTGCATAGCAAAACTCGTGACAAAGGCATAATTACCATGAACAGAGTAAAATTTCCACATAAAGCACCAAATTGTTTATTCATGAGTTTGCGGATAGAATGCTTAATAGCCCACAATATCCCTCTTGCTAGATTTATAAGATGCCGCATATAAACAAATTGAGCTGATATGCAAATGATTATACTATGTAACCATTTCAAAATAGTTCATTCATGCAAATAAACACTCATTAATGTCTACAACCAAATGGTACAACAATCGGAGAATCATGCTCCTCATTGTTAACAATTACATACTGAAGGCAAAAACTCCTACTTACATACTGGACTAATATCATCATTTACATGGGAAATGATATAACCATTTAATGCAAAGCGAACATTAAACCTTGACTAATTTACAAGCACAAAATAAGAAGCATTTTCAAATAACTTGGCAAAATTGCCATCATTTCAATCCATGACAATTGCTATACCACCTTTCTTTAGCCAATATCAACTTCTCCATTCCAAAGTCAAACCCCTTTTTATCGATATTATAAATCATAATGTATATCACAGATTAAATACTTGCTTCCAAGAGCAACTCAACAACTAGAATGGCATTTATTTATTATTAGTATTAGTATTATAAAAACCAATCAAATGGAATGAATTATAGCCAAAGCGTACGTTGCTACTGCTTCAACGTCTAGATAAAGTAGCCAATGCTTACTTTCACTTTTATGCCATCCCTTGAGTTAATGCTAAAATGTTTAAAAAATTGATGGTCCATCAATGCTCCTCATCGGATATAACATCAACTTGATTACAAATATTTATTTTAAAAAAAACTCCATCAATTGATATATACTAAATATATTACAAAAGGAAGTTGTATTTTCTGCCAATTAAAGAAAATAAAGCATCAATCAATCCTTGATTTAAATCTAATATACAACAAACATATATTGCAAAGGGATGTCTTCTTCGGCTCAGAACCAACGCTTTCATTCCACATTGAAAATTCAAATTAAATAGTAGTTTTAAACAAAACACCCATGTCAAATAATTATTCATCATCATATTCCATATGATATATCCAACTATCATATAAGAAAAAGCTTCAAGTGTCGTGCTTGATTATATGTATGTATGTATGTATGTATGTAAGAATGCATCTCAAAATAATTTCTTTTCGCAAATTAAACAAAACTTGCGCTATGAGATAAACATAGACTCAATAATTTGTGTTTTACATATCTGTATATCCAACAAGAACACAATCATTTCCAAATTTAATAAACATAGGAAACCCTTACGTAAATCTTTTTGCCGACATTTAGTCAATGTTCCATAATACTCGCAATTGTAAAATATAATATTTTTCACATAGCCATAGCCCCTCCAACACAAAGCATCACAATCATAATTTGTCATACCTACTTAATTGCACACTGGAAAGATATGATGCTCATATTCCATATGATATATCCAACAATCATATAAGAAAAAGCTTCAAGTGTCGTGCTTGATTATATATATATGTGTATGTATGTATGTATGTATGTAAGAATGCATCTCAAAATAATTTCTTTTCGCAAATTAAACAAAACTTGCTCTATGAGATAAACATAGACTCAATAATTTGTGTTTTACATATCTGTATATCCAACAAAAACACAATCATTTCCAAATTTAATAAACATAGGAAACCCTTACGTAAATCTTTTTGCCGACATTTAGTCAATGTTCCATAATACTCGCAATTGTAAAACATAATATTTTTCACATAGCCATAGCCCCTCCAACACAAAGCATCACAATCATAATTTGTCATACCTACTTAATTGCACACTGGAAAGATATGATTAGTGTGAGCTAAGAAAGTCGTGAAAAAACCTCAATATCAACATGTCCCATTTTTAAATTCTATACTCCACACCATGATCTAAATCTGCACGCACAAAGAATGAAATATACATAAAATTTTATCAAATAATAGGCAATTGCTCTTAAGATTGCTGGTATATCATGTAAAAAATATGTTTCGAGTTGTGTTTAAGAACATTGTCCTTAAGAGATTCCAAAAAAATTGTTGGAGCTTCCCAAGATTATAATAGGCAATTACTCTTAAGATTGTTGGCATATCTTGTAGAAAATTTATTTTGAGTTGTGTTTAAAGATATTATCCTTAAAAGATTCTGGCAAGATTGTCGAAGTTTCTCAAGATTAATCAAAATCCTCTTGTAAAATGAATAGGATGACATAACAGTAAAAATTTTGAATAATCCAAGAGAAAAACAAGGAGCAAGAAGAGGAGAGTGTTTGAATGCTTAGAACAATTCCCTTGAACCTGAGACAACCACTACCTTTTATAGGTAGAAATCTCATAAAACTTTAGGCAATAAAATACCAGTTAATGACACCTTAATACAAATAAAAACAATTATAGATAATAATGAGATTTAATGTAAAATAAATAGATTTAAATAGTAATTAATAAAATGATAATTCTGTTTGAAATATAACTAAATAATTAAAATATCCAACAGAACTTACTCGAATTTTAAAAGACTAAATCAAGGCATATTCTCAAACAATATTGAAAAACGCCAAATAGGACCTTTTTTGTTTTTATAATTACCACTTTTTAGGATTGTGATAGCAGTTTTTTTTTTTTCCTGGGTAAAAGAGAGGCCAAGCCCGAGAGTTGAAACAGCCTCAATTTTTCGCAAACAACTTTAGTTTACAGCCCACAAAGAATAGGATTATGGGCCTGTTATCTTTTGGGCCAATTAGGCCTTAAGTAATTAAAAGATAGAACTTGATCTTATCGAAAGAGGAGGAAGAAGATAGAACTTGAAACTTCACGGTTGGTAATATTCCGGTTCATGTGATTAGATGTTCCACATACAAGGAACAAACTATAAAACAAAACATACTTTACAAATTAAAATAAACAACTGTTTACATTGGAATATAACTGGGATCTCAAATTCTAAAATAAAATAAATTGTCATTTATATTTTCTGTAAAAAAAAATTATTTTATATTCCTATAATATAATAGCTAAAATATCACGGTGCAGTGCCCAGAAAATATATACTTATTTTTCATCATTACAATTATTTATTTTTAACTAATTGTACAATTCTATTTCATATTTTTAGACACATAAATACATGATAAAATTATTAAATTAATATTTAACTTCAATTAGTTTTTAGGATATATTTATTTTGGAAAAAATAGAGGGAAAGGAAAGAGAAATTTTAATGAAATTGATTTATAAAAAAATTGGGGAGTGAGATTGTATAAAATCTGATGATTAGTGCACAAATTGAGGATGATGCACGGGTTATAAAAACACTATTTGTTTGTTTTGATCGGCAGATCCCACAGTTTTAGTTCAATACGAGAGGCGGAGTTTGGATGGCGGCGGCGCGCGTCTCCCTTGATTGACGTGCGCAATACCGATCCCTAGGAATGTAGGAATGTGCTCCTAATCGGGAGTTTAGGTCCACAGCAAAGCCCCCAAACCTCATGCTGATTCCATCAGGTCGCTAAAGAAGACTGATCAACAATGGCAGAAACACTTTTCTCAGTTCTCCCGGATGACGTTGTTCTCCACATCTTCCTTGGCCTCAAAGACGATCCCCGACACTGGGCTCGCCTCGCCTGTGTCTGCACCAAATTTTCCTCTTTGATTCGCAATTTTTGCTGGAAAATCAAGTGCTCCCACACCATCCCATCCATCGTCTCCGATCTTCTCTCCGATTCTTCTGTTCCGCCCGGCGGCTGGGCTTCCCTGCATAAGCTCTCCGTCTGCTGTCCCGGCCTCCTTCATGCCGGGGTTCTCTTAGAGAGCTCGGATTTCGGGCTGGAGCTGGAGCTCGGCCCAGATGAGGGTTACCAGCAATCGATTTCCCCGCACGCAATCACATCATCGCAAGAAATCTTCACCAGTCGATTGAATGGTTCTTCAGATGTGGGTGCTTCTGGTTCTAATCGTTACTGGTCTCTTTTCGATGATCTTCATAATGATACCGTCTGTAATGTTCCTACATCCAAAGATGGTCCTGAACCCCAATTATGTGAGGAGGCTGGGAAAAGTGATGTCAAGATCGGTCAGGAATTCTCTTCCTGCAAAAGAAGGAAGATTTGGAGATCACCGAGGTCGCGGTCACATTTGGCTTCTGGAATATGGAACTTGAGCAGAGAGCAGGGCAGCAAGCTACTTGCTAGACAGTTTCGAGATGATTGTCTGTATATTTGTGATTGGCCTGGCTGTCGGCACAACGAGGAGAAGAGAAGTTACATGCTTTTCAGAGGAATTTTCAAGAATTTTAAGCGGTCCAGGTTGTGGAGGACAATCAACGATGGGAATCGGAAAAAAGTTGCTCTGAGCTGTGCGTTTTGCCAGTGCAAGGAGACTTGGGATTTACATTCTGCATTCTGTTTACGGCGATTTTTTGGATTCCATGACGATGGCGAGCCAGTTGTTCGAGCTTATGTTTGTGAAAATGGTCATGTCTCTGGAGCATGGACAGATTTGCCGTTATACACTTGATGCCAAGTTTAAATCTGAATTGGCAGTGTAGTTAGGTTGAAGGTTCTTTTTTCTTGAATTTCTGATTAGTTATCTAATGATATACTAGTTCAGTATAGATCGTTTGCTGTTTGGATTAGGAATTGATAAGTACGCGCAAAGCATGTGCAATTACCATGTTACAATTCTCACATCTATTATGCACTCATTATTTCTTTGAGCCTTTGCTCTCGGATGTTTTATTCCCCATGTTTGGTTTCGTTTCTGATGTCAATTGTTCTATCAGTTTGATGAACCGACTAATTAATATTTCTTCGTGCTTATTATTTATTACAAATCGTTGTAAAGAATAAGTCAAAAACATTTCAATTTCTGTTTCACACTATTGATTTGAATTGATATACATGACAATATTCCAAGTTCAAGCTATATGGTAGCTAAAAGTGTAAAATAGCATTCTGCACAATTTCAAGCAATCTGTATGATGTTTATAGAGTATGAATAGGGGCCGTAGCAAATCTGGCTCGCAATTGAGTTTAGCTGCTTGCAGGGTTTCACTCTCCCCTCATGGTGGCCTTTAATGTTTTCAACCTCTTGCTTGCACATATGGATTTATACATGATATAGTTATGCGCTTCTTAGAGCTCTGCTTAATTTTTATGCTGGTTTTTAATCTTATTCATTGTTGTTGTTTGTCTCTCTAGTTGTAGCGGTAAGCTTGTAGAGGAAGGGTTGTGTAAATGGATATTATTTATGGTTACCATTGGGCATTCTAATTTTGAGTCTTCTGACAGTCCCTTGATTGTGTCTGAATCTAAGGAAAGTTTATTTCATGATGAATGGATGCTTTTAGCTTCTCTTCTATGTTGCAAAGTTCCAATGAATCTTGCGTGATTTTTAGAAACATCAATGAATGACTTGCCCCATTGTCTCTAACTGAAAGGCCATAGGTTTTGGAATGGATGCAGTATTACAAGAAAGAGACAAATAAAAAAAAAAAAAAAAAGGGTGAGAGAAATGTCTCTGCCATGCAATATTTTTATTTTTCAAACAAGTTAATTATTCTTTAACATTTTTTGAAACGTCTTCTAAATTGAAATATAAAAATTTCAAAAATTATCATATGATAATTAACAATAAAAAGGAGTGTTATGAAAATAAAAAGAATTTAAGAGACTAAGATGAGAGATTTAGGGGAGGACAATTGGGAGTGGTTGTCATTCACTTCAAACTTATTATCGCTTGGCACATACCCATTATTTATATATATCACAAGTCTTTAAATTCTATTATAAGAGTCACATTACATACACAAATAAATACATAATTATAAAATATAACATATATATATATATATATATATTAATTGTGAAAAGCTTCTAAGAAGCCATTCAAGTTATCTAGTTTTAATTGAAAAATGTCAAAAGACAACTCTGAAAAAACTCTGTACATCTACAATTATATTAAAACTAGCTTGGATTCTGTGTGTTGCATGGGTTTAATATAAGAAAATTGTTAGAAGTAATATGTGATAAACAACATTTACAAAATTCTAATTTAAACAAGAATGTTGTCTTGTTAGACAAAATAAAGATTTGATATATATATATATATATAGATATATGTATATTCAATTTCAAGGTTTAAAACAATGGATGAACGTAATTTTTTTTTAATTGAACACATTCTGTTAAGGAGTAATAGATTTTTTTGGTCACAGTCCATGTTACAATATGGAAGAAATAATGTTTGAATACCAATGAAAAATAGACAAGGGAAATAATACTGTGACACCAGCGAACATGTGATCATGTCGGTGTAAAAAAATATTTAAAGAGCCTCTGAATTCAAATTAGGAAAAGAAGTATATCAAATTGTTCCATACGTTTATAAGCTATGGAATTGATTTCTTACTATAAGAATGAGATAAATTGAATCCTGTGCACTGAACGGGTTTTATATAAATAGATTGTAAGAAGTGATATAAATAACAATATTTATAAAAAGTCCAATTTGAGTAATAATTCTATCTCTTTTGTCAAGTGTTAAATGAAAGGATTTACATATGCCACACATATTTATATACATATATCTTGTGTTTTGTTTTCCACCATATCTAATAAAAAATATTCTACTTCTTTGTGCGTAGTTATTTAATGCATGTAACTTCTTTTTGTCTTTTCTTTGTTATTATATCGGTCAGGTTTAGTCATTTAAATATGTTATTTTACTAATTAGGTAGTGAATAATAAGTTGAGTTTGCTTGGAGAATGAAAATTTAAAACCTTTCATCATTCAAAACCTCTCAATTACAGAGGTCATGGATGATCAAAGGCCCAAAATTTCCTAGTACTATTGCAACCCAAACAAACAATTTCAAAAAAACAAGGGATTGGCTCAGTGTGTGCAAAACCGAGACAAATATGATAATGACTAAACAGGAGGTTCTCAGTTTCGGTAATGATATCAGAATATGGATGATCGTCTGCATTATCCCTGGCAAGAAGATTGTAGCAACTTGCATTTGGTGTTTGAACTTTGATAGCATGCATTCCTTTGTCTCAGGATAGATTAATCCCAACTCTTGTAGCATTAACTTCTGCAATGACAAGGGGTATTTTTTTCTTCTTGGACATTGAATCCAAGCACCCATTGACCATCTCCTTTCAAGATTAGCCTTGCACTCACACTTGTTCCATCTGACATAGAAGAGCCTCTGACGAACAAATTAGCTTTTTCAGTCCCTGCTTCCAAATTGGTGTCGAGTCACGCCTCTGAGCTGTTCGCTGCCTATTTCAGAAATATTGAATACACAAGACAAGTTTGCTACTTTTTTCTCAACCAAATTGTCATAGATAGCATTTCGAATGGCTACCAATAATCATGGAATATAAATCAACATTAACATATTGAATTTCACTTAGGAAATAATCATTTTATTATTACCAATAAGAACAAAGCTTGAAGCTTCTATAGTGTGAAGCATTTCCAAGTCTGAGATAACAAGTGTCAGAACATCAATTGAAGAAGACAAAAATCAAACTAAATGTACATGAGCACATAAAGGAAGCAGTAATGAGAGATCAGATTTACACTAACTTGATTTACCATCTTTCTAAGACAAGAAAAATGCAGGAAAAAAGCATTACATAGACAAAAAAATGCAACAGGATCTGCAGAGCAATAATTGGTAAAAAAGAATAATGGATGACATCAAAAACCAGCTTTGCTGTGCCACCTAATGTGCGCAATCTTTCAATAACTGGCTTCACACAAACTGATTGCAAAGGAATAAATGTCTAAGGAGGAAGCCTTTGATCTTTCAAATACTGTAGAGAAGAAAGTGATAAAAGTTCCAAGTAACACTAATATAAATAATTAATACAAATAACTGATCAACTATCATTAAACTAAAAATAATTTCTTATTCTATGTACATGCATGCATATATAAAGAGTTGTCACAAGACAAATGACAAACTAATTAATGGTGCTTCAGAGTCGCTTTTGGACAACCACAAGAATCACTTAAAACATTCACTCAATTAATAATAAAGATAATTTAGATCTTTTAAAGAATGGTTAATGTGTTAACCATATATTGACTTAATTGTTCACCCAAGTTGATTGCTCCTGAACAAATAATATGGACAAAAAAACAAATAAAACAGAACGATAAGCCAAAGATGGTAGGCGGTACGAAGCAAAAAAAAAAAAAAAAAGCAGAATCATTACCACAGAGACAAATAGTGAAGATTACTAAACCACATCTTTTAAAATTATGAGATACAACAATAGTAGCATTTAGATAGATTCAGGCCATAGAAAAAGTGAATCTTTATAGCTAAGATTTTTGGATATGGATCTGAAGCTTATTGAAATGTATGTCTCTAGTACGTGTGTGAGTGAGAACTTACTCATCCAAGATATTCAATGCATTGGGGTTGAAGAGTGGACCTTGGACACTTCTCAAGATTGAATTATTTGCCTTCATAATCAAAGAACCCCCAAAAGCTATTTTACCATCTTTGCCTTCTCCAATAATCAAATATGCGAGGATTTAGGAAAAAAAGTACGAAGGACCAATATATAAACAGGAATGATGTAAAAATAACAACGAAAATGTAGTGGAAGATAAACAGTCACAAAAGAAAAATACATCTTACAGTGATTGAGGATGATAGAAGTCTGCATAGAAGAAGAACAAAATGAAGGTAGGGCTTCTCAGGATAGGCAAAACCGAAGAGGTGATGAAACAAGTAAAAAACTGAACTTTAAATGGTAATAGTAAATTATTGATAAAATAAAAGAACATACTTCCAGTGCTCAAGGATGAAGGACGTCTGCAAAGAAGAGCAAAAAGAAATCACTGCTTCATACAGATCATCAGTGCTACACTGCTTCATACACATTCTCTGGTCCTCCTTCAACCACCCAAAACTTTAGATTCATACCCCGAAGGCATCAACTTATATATACAAAAGCAAAAAGCATAATCAAATTCAAAGCCATTAGAGACGGTGAAGAAGAATGTGAAAGAGAGACTGAAATTGAAACTGAAAATGGAGCGCGCTTGTTGATGACAGCAAGAAGTAAAAGTAATCATGATTAGCGTGGTGGGGTTTGTGAGACTGATTTCTGACCATGGCAATTTGCAGATCAGCACCTCTATTTATTTCCGACGTTCGAAGGAAAGAACATCCGGATGAAGAAAATCAAAAGAGAAATAAAATGAGTAGACTATTTGTTCTCTCACCAATGGGAAGAGTGGCTTCACTTCGTCCATGCAATGGCTCCATAAGTGGCGAATCAATCAAGAATGGAATGGGTTATGAAACGGAGAAATAAAATTATACAATTGCACCAGGGGGACTTCGAAAAACAGGAAAACCAAAGCACATGGGGCAGCAGACATGGGCCATAAATGAAAAAACACAGTCAGCTGAGGCTGCCGTCGAAAATTAAAATTAAATCTAAGTTGATTGACTAATGACGTAAAAAAGATTCTTGAACAATCAATAACATTCTACTAGTTTTGTTAGTATATGCATCGGTTGATGTGTCACGGTGTCCGCTTGAACGAATAGTTACTGTTGATGGGGAAAATATAGGACCAAACAAATCAGTCAGGTACCTCAGAAATGAGTGGCCTCCAGCTTACTCCCTCTATTTTTATTTATAAAAAAAAAGTATTACTTTCAATTTTTTTATATAAATAAAATCATAATTTTTAATAAATAATATTATAAATTTTTTAAATTATTCCTCCTAATTTTATCATTTATAATTATAAAAAATAATTAATAAATATCTGATTAATATAATTAATAAAAATTATTATAATTAAATATTTTTATTTTTAAATATAATTAATATAGTAAATTGATTTTTTTTAATTTTATGTGATATAGTTTTTTTTTTATATATAAATAGAAACTGAGGGAGTCTGGTTTACCAAACTGATTTACAAGTCTGGTTCCTCGCGTCGCCTTCTTCATTCATCCGACAACCTCTTATCTGAGCTAAAACATTTTGTTATCATCTCTTACATCTTATATTCACGTTTTCTACGGTTATACGGTGAGGGGGATAGTTTGGAAACCCCATAAAATCTCATAGCGCAAGAGCTTCCACAAAATGCCAAAGCTTGTAAACTACTTCAAGAAACGCGCCATAATGCGCTCTGGTTATAGGTAAATAAATAGCACAAACTCCATGACTTGAGAAGCAGAATATGCCTTGGACGGAAACAAGAAGAGATTACAGTTTACAGAGGATGCGAGTAGCCACGTTTTGGAGCCTTAACCCCCTACTTCTGGTCCTCTGGTTACTTGTCAACAACTTGGCAGTAGGAGTCCAAAGTGCACATAGTTATAGCAGACTTGACTTTTCACCTTCCTTTATTTTTAGTTCCGGCACTTCTGCTTATCAGGTTCTTCAATTTACTCCATGTCTCTCCTTTCTTCCTATCTCTTTTTTCCCCTTTCAGCTGGTGAACCCATCGATTTTTGAAAGGGGGGGGGGGATTATATTCTGATATAAATGCTTGTGTGTTTTTTTATACATTACTAAATTTTCTGCAAGCAAAGGTAGAAGGCACAGCAGACAAAGATGGAAGAGCTCCGAGCATATGGGATACCTTGGCTCTTGCCGGTAAGTTTGTCATCATTTTGCTTATTATGTTTTATAATTTTGGGAGCTTAATTTTGTCGTTCAGAAAAGAAAGGTAAGCAAACTCCTTGAGTAAGAAGAGTGATCTCAAATCGTGATATATTTCGAAGATGAGAGCTTCATTCTACTTTCTTGAATGATAAATAGGGTATGCGCACGGAGACAATGGGAATGTAGCTTCAATGAGTACCGCAAATGTAAGGTGAACGTCAACCGTTTTTCCTTTGCTCAGTAATGCGACCTTGAAATTCTTGTCTTGTTTATTCTACCTGCAGATCTCTGTTTTCCTGTGCACTGTTGAGGGGTATTAAGAATTTATTTACCTTGAATATCTATGTACTGCAGGAAGATGTGTAGCTTATGGTGGAAACGGGCCTTGGCGCCTATAGACTTTCCATTTCTTGGTCAAGATTGATACCCAGTATAATCACGGACCCAAACTTCCTGAATAAGCGCCATTCATATTAGAGTTTCCTTTTTATTTTCAAGTAAAAACTGAATTAACGCCTTGTCACTTTTCTTTTTCCACAGATGGTAGAGTCAATCCAAAAGGGTTGCAATACTACAATAATCTAATCAATGAACTAATCAGCCATGGTTAAATAAGAATTTCTTTGCTAAAGAAGCCATGCCCTGAAATCTCTTTTTGCTTTTTGAACTTCACATGTAATTATGTATAGTCTTACTCATGTACAGGAATACAACCACACGTCATATTGCACAACTTGGATCTTCCACAGGCAATTGAAGATGAATATGGTGGATGGATTAGTCGCAAAGTCATGTACGTCCAAAGACCTTCTACATTAATTCATGTGTTTGTGTTTTCTTGTGCTTGCAAAGACGGGAACAGAAAAAAATGATATGGATAGATGGATCAACTTGAATGTGAATGCAGAAGAGATTTCACAGCCTATGCAGATGTGTGTTTTAGAGAGTTTGGTGACAGAGTGTTGTATTGGACAACAGTTAACGAACCCAATGTGTTCGCTCAAGGTGGTTATGATCAAGGAACATGCCCACCTCCTCGATGTTCTCCTCCATTTGGCATCAACATTTGCCCTAAAGGCAACTCAACAACTGAGCCCTACTTGGTAGTTCATCATATTTTGTTAGCACACGCTTCAGCTGTGAGATTGTATAGGACAAAATATAAGGTCTGTCACTTAAGCTTTGAAAGATCATGCTATGATTTCAGCATGCACATAAATTATTATTATATTTACAGAGCAGAACACCCCCCCCAAAAAAAAATTATAAGCTTATCAATCATGGAATGTTAATTAGGGACACTGTACATGTATTGCAGCACAAACAACGTGTCACTGTCTTTACATTTGGGTTACGTCCTCATATAAATACAGAACAAGACATTATAGCAACTCAAAGATTTCATGAGTTTCTTATTGATTGGTAAGTTACAATACGGACCCTATAATTGGTTGATTTTATTTCTATCTTCTCTCTCTCTTCTTTTTACTCTCTATTTCGTGTAAGACAAGGTATATATATATATAATATAATTTTCATAAACGTCATATAAATTCCTATTGGTTTTTTTTTTTGGTGGCTGTTATAAGAATGTGACGCTCAGTTCATGTTGTCCTTTGCAGGGTTATGGAGCCGTTGGTTTACGGAGACTATCCCAATGTTATGAAGAGAAATGTGGGATCAAGAATTCCTACCTTCACAAGTGAGAGTCTAAACAAGTTAAAAGTTCATGGGATTTTATCAGAGTGATATACTACACCGTCATTAACGTCACAGACAACTCCGACATCCTAAAGCGCTAGATCAGAGATTATACTGCAGATACGGGTGTTCGAACAATATGTACGTCCTTTTGTTATGTTTTCAGGATAGTAAATTCAATAAAAGGTTTTCGAAGTGTGGCTGGATGAACTGGCTGTATATTATTCATTGTATTGGTGTATCATTTTATTATCATTGCTCTTCAACCTCCAACTAATTGAACTTTCACCAAATTCACCTTCCAGTTGTCATTTATTTTTCGGTAATGAAGTTTGGAAATGACGGGTAAATGAAGGGTTTCTGGGTTATGGCAGTTGGACAGGATCTACTTTCAAACGAAGAGGTAAGAGGCTTGAAACATAAATGATGAATATGTTGGACTATTTGGATCAGTTCAATGCATGACTAACTGCTGGCTTTACTCTGATTGATTCAGTACACAGTGGTAACATGAGGTTTAGTACAAGTGCTGGAAAAATTCAAGCTCCTCTATGGCAATCCTCCTCTGTACATATATGAAAATGGTCTCTCTTTCATTCCCTTCAGGGACAAAAATATTCAAGAGCAAGTAGACATTAATATCATTAGGGAACTCAGTCCATGATACTGATCTCAGAGTCACTGATTTTTCAGTTAACTAGGTAGCGAGTCTTGTTTATGAGATGGAGATGCTAATACACGCTGAGCAAAAAACTTGAAATGGTATATTGAGATATATTTTTGAACGAATTGTACAGGTCAAAGGACAGCGAGCAATTCATCGCTGCAAGACGTGTCAAGGGTGACTTTCCTACAGGAATACATTGGAGGAGTGTTGGATGCCTTGAGGTATCGTATCTGTTAACATGAAAAGGTGTGTTGTTATTGCATGGCAGTATAGTGACGCGTGTGGTGGAATATTGTATAGGAATGGATCAAATATAAGAGGCTACTTTTTATGGCCCTTCTTAGATGTGTTCGCGTTATTGGATGGATACAGATCCAGCTTTGGTTTGTATTATGTTGATAGGGATGACCCTCACTTGAAGAGGTACCCAAAGCTCTCTGCTTCTTGGTACTCCTCCTTTTTAAAAGGTGGCAGAAGCAGTAGCAGCACCTTCATACACAGTGGATCTATACGACTTGAGCAGGATCCATCCATACCTCCCGTTCGCCATTCCTTTCAATGAATAATATCAGCTTCTTCTTTCTCCGCTATTTTCCATAAATTGTCATGTTTCGCTAGTTTTCCCTTCAATAAATTGCACTGCTTTAAAACCATTCCTAAATAACATTAGCTTCAGCCTTCAAGGAGGACCGTGGCAACAAGATTTAAGTGTTTGTTTGTTTTGTTTTGTTTTTGTTTTTGTTTTTGTTTTTGTTTTTGAATCAAGAGAAGATATCACTTAAAAAGAGAAAAGTACAACCAAGCTACAAAGCAAAGGAAACACCAAGGCCAAAAAGAAAACCACCACGACCTAAGTAAAGGGTGGTACAGCAAAGAAATTGAAATAAGAATTCAGACTATGAGCTAGTTTGGCAAGAGATTGTCTTTATTTTTTGAAATGTCAAATTTGAGGTTGTCTTTGTTTTAAAAGTAACCCACTTGGTTCTCCCTCCTCTTGAGGATCAGCAAGTACATCAAATCTCGATGATGGCCATGTTTAGGTGGAGACTTCTTTTTCTGACTAAACCTGCTCTGTGTCTGTGCATGTCCCCTCTTTACCTCTTGTTTATAGAATCGAGGCTTATAGGGGTTCCTCGATTGTGTCCACCCTCCGTACTACTCCTCCAAGGGAATTTGATTCAGGTTTGTAAAGCCAAATTCCGATGACGGAATGCTTCCCTTATTCACCGTCGATGAGCCTTCACTCATCCCTCTCTGTACAGAATCTTCGTCTCTCTTAGCTAGTGGGCAACTTTCTTTCCTATGACCATATTTCCCGTAGTGGAAACATATCACCTTTAGACCCTCATACATCACTGTAAAAACTTGCCGCCTAATCACAAAACGTGATGGTAGTCTTTTG